GGGGCTGCCCGGGCTCGCCGCTCTGCTCCAGTGCCGGCGCTCAGGTCCCGACGGCACCCGAATCGCAGGGAGTCTCCGCTGGAGGGGGGCTCGGTGCCCGGCGGGGACTGCAGGTGTGTGGCGTGGCGTCCGGGGCGGTCTTCGAGGGCTCGCGCGGGGGCTCTCGGCAGAACCCGGGCGGGCTGACACCGCCGGGGAGCGGCGGCCGCGGGATGCCTGTGAGACCCTGCTGCCGACCCGCCCTGTGCTTGAGGCTCACTGCTCGGCACGGGGTCCACAAAGCCGTGTCCCCAGTAACCCGGAGACAGAAAGGGCGGGCGCCCCAGTACAGTCGTCTTCCTTATCTAGGTCATTGCTGGCCTCCTCTGTGCGGTCTGCGGGTGGCCCCAGACTCTGAGGATGGCCCCAGCCGCCTTCACCTTCACAGGCAGGTCGTCGGGTAAAGGAGTCCGCTCCTTTCTGCCTGGGAACTCTCAGTGAACCTGGCAACAGGAGCCCTTTGACCAGAGAACCTGGAAGTCCCGTCTTAGCGGGTCCCCTGCTAGGCAACCTGGGCAGCGGCTGCTCTTCCAGCGAACCGCGTGCTGGGCGCTGTCAGGGGACCCGAGCCTGCACCGGGGGTATACCTGCGTGACTGTGTGTGGGCTCCCGCGTGCATGTATTTGCATGTGCACGTAGGCCTGTCCCAGAGATGGTGTCAGTAAGCACGAAGTTCAGGTCACTAGGAGGAAGGAGATTTTTCAGAGGAAAAAAGAAGGCAGCAGGATGTGGTATCAAGAGAGTTAACAAGCCTCTGTACTGAGAGGAGGGGTGGGTTTAGGATGAGGTCTAAAAGTAGGCCGGTTCTGCCTGGAAGGCCCCTTCTGGCTTGTTCTTTGCATCCACCCTCTCTTAGGCCCTGTCTGTTCCCATTCACACCTTCCTTCCTCCCATACGTTCTGCAGGCCCCAGACTTACAGCACAACTTTCCAGGGGTGGCAACAGCAACCTGGACTTTTTTTTTTTAATTTTCTTAAGCTCTTTAAGGGATGATGTTGGAAGCATTGCTTGGGAACTACTTGAGATGTAGAAAGGAGACCTGAGCTCCAGCCAGGTCCAGCTGTGTCACCTGGAATATCTCACCACTCCCCTCTTAGCATGTTTTTCCATCTATCAAATAGGCCCAGATAGCATCTGCACAGGGCCATGGGAAACTTAAGTGAAGGAAGTGTGATGAGGTAACTACACATGGGTGCTGCCCCCTGAGTCTGTGCAGGTAGGCACCAAGGATGTGCCTGCTTCCTCAGCATGCTCACGTGGTATGAACACAAAGAAGACAGTTTGGAATGGTCAGACTCTTTCTGCTTCAGGTACCCTCCCCTGCCTTTTCCAGCATAACTAACCAGGACTATATTTGGGACATCAGGACAGAAAATTTGGTGTCTTTGGGTGCTGGACCTCATTCGGGTTTTAAGAACTATTCCCCGGTGTCCAGCTTAGGTGGGGGATGATTGTGTTCTGGCCCCTGCCACAGTGGGAGTAGGCCATTTCCTCCCTACTCCATGCATCTCTTTTTTGCTATTTACATGAATGATTGAGTGGAAGCCACTAGTGGTACTGGGTGAAAAGTGGATTTGGGCTTAGGAATGGCAAGGAGCTTGACAGCTCTTTATCATCTCTTCTAAGTGGAAGACAGGTCCTGCCCACTGAAATGCACTGGTAGCATTTTTGCCTGGGTAGCCTGGTGTTGCAGGCCCCTAAGGATTATAAGCTGTGTAGAATTGGCCTGCATTCAAAGAGGCTCACCCCCAAGGGTTGTGCTAGCTGGCCCTGTAGGACACCTTTGAACCAGAAGATTTGTTTGGCTCAACAGTAGGTGGAATGAAATCCTGGATCAACTTCTTATGCATGAAGCTTCTGGAGGTACAAGGTATTGACCATCAGCAGCCCAAGAGAGAGATGTGAAATTTTATTTTTGAACCTCTGGTGTAGATGAAGAGGACAGGATGAACCACATGTGACTCCTGCCCAAGGAGAAAATATGACAATGATAGCAAATATATTGCATGTTAGGATAGTCTGCCAATTTGAAGATGTACATATTTTCACATTTAATAATTCTAAAACAAGATGCACATAGCATCTTATTGTTATAACAGACAACAGTGTTTCATTCTTAAGATTTATTTTATTTATTTATGCACACAAGAGGTGGGATGTAGGCTAGAGCTGGGGGGCTGGGAGGGTGCAGAGAGGATTCACTCAAGACAGAGTGGGGAGCGGTACAGGTGGATTGACTGAAATACACTGCTGAAGGGAGCAGCGGGCGGGACGGGGGTGTCTGCTGGGCCATGTGGGTTAGTTTCCTGGCTGGGGATCAAACTTTTGCTGCAGTTACTGCTGATAACTTCATTAAAGCTGAAACTTAACCCTTGTGCCACCAGATAGATCCTGAAGTGTTTCTTTCTTGATGGCATGCAAAATAATGGTGCATCTTACATTTGATGGTAGATTCTGCTAAATGCAATGTATGTTTTACAGATTTGAGGAGATACTTACACACAGAATGTCATTCCCATAAGTGCATTTGCATCCATTCATTTTTCCAGTAGCTCTGTTTTCTAACACCAGCACTTTTCATTGTTTCCAGATCTAAAGGAAACTTTTGTAAAATGTGTTTGCCTTTAGAAGTACAGCATTGTTGCATGTGATTTAATACTTTCTTAAAAATATCAAATAATTCTACCTGTCATTCTCTGTACCTTGGTTCTGCTCAGGAAGCATTTTCCATCCTTTCCTTTTGTCTTTCTTCTTGCTCTTTTCCTCTTCAGCTACAGTTTCATGGTGTTGGATACCAGGCTAAAAACTTCACATCCTTTCATCTTCATAGCCACACTCTCAGGTAGCCACAACCATTGTCCCCATTTCATGCATATGCAGGCTGAGAACTGGGGCCACAGCGTTAAAAGTGCCAGAGCTGGGCTGACTCTGATGCTGGCTTTTGACCAGAGATGACCAAGCCAAGGGGTAGCGTGTGTGTGCCTGTGGGTGTGAAGTATGTATGCTGTAGGCACAACTTTTGGAACTTGAGCTGTGACTTTTCTGGGCCTTTTCTGTTTGCCTCTGAGCTACCAGCTAAGATTTAGAGAGTTAGGGCTATGAATTAAATAAATGACTTCCAGATATGTGAGCTATAGCTGCAGCAAGGTGGCCCCAAGGAAGGTAGAGCTATTGAATGGGAAACAAGGGGAGGCTGCCAACACAGACCAGACAGTGTGTTCTTTTTGAGTCACCAACTGGGGTCCTATGCTTTGGGCTTTAGTGTTTGGCTTCCTGCCTCCAGCCTCCCTCCACCCCCAGTCTGTCTTCGGAGACCCACTGCCACATGCAGTAAGACAACAAATCTGAGCAAACCCTCAGAGCTGCCTTCAGAGATGGCCCAGACCCCTGGCCCAGCTAGTAAGGCCTCCCATCACCCAGTTCAGAGCCTCCATCTTCTGAAGCTTGGGCAGACCTCTGTGCTTTTGCATTTTTTTGCATGTTACTCTTACTATTCCTTCTCCTCACATTGCCCTTCCCTTTCTCTAACAGCCTGGTGGACTGTAAATTCATCCTTGGATGCCCACTCAAACCTCATCGTCTATGAAGTCTTCCCCAAACCCGCTCCTCACTCTACAGCCCTGAGACATCCTGTCCTCATCTGTCTTTTATGTCCTCCTACCAGGCATTGAACATCCTCAGTGGTCTCACCACTGGCTTGATGGCCTGTCTGCCAGGGCCACCTGATGCTCAGTGGCTATTGAGCTGTCACCATGAAATTCCTCAGAATCTTACAGGCAGGAAGTCCGGATACACCTATAGTGGAAATGCCCAAAGGCAGGACTTGGTTGGGGGGGGCAAGGTTAAGGGTGGGGTATGGAGGGAGTGGTGTGCTTTTCATTTTCATGTGCTTCAGAGTCTTGTTGTTGTTGTTGACCTAGGCAAATGGGCTTGTGTGGTTTCCTTGTTGGGGGTGGGTGGTGGGGGCAGGGCTGGAGTATGAGGTCTAAAGGTGGCTTCCAGGTTTCTACCTCCTATGGAGTCAGGGGACCTTGTTTCTGCCTCTTCACCTAGCCTTGTGACTGACCGTGGGTAAGACCTTGCACCTCTCTGGTGTCCATCCCCATCCACATGGACCTGTAGCACTAGAAGCTTCCTGGGATTCCTTCCAAGCCTCCAACATTTCATTCATTGGCTCAGCACTTCTGTATGAAGTATCTTCTGAGTGTCAGGCATATATTGGGCCTCTGAGGATTGTGAGAAAGACAGTAGGCCCACATATTACTTAATTATAGTCATGAGAATTTTGGGATATGTGAGGCTATGTAAAGGAAGTTCAGTATACTCTAGGGGTTAAGGAAAAGCTTCCCTAAAGAAATTAGATTTGAGACTTGAGAGATCAAAATAGAATATCACTAATATTATTAACACCCGATATTTTGCAAATTCATTTTAGGTAGGTATTCCTCGGGTACAACCTGCTAGGTCTTGTTTTCAACAACTTTCTGGGGCCTGGGGCACCCTCTCTTGTGAGAATCAGGTGAGAAAAGCCCTGGCAAGTACCTGGCCCAATGTTTGACATGGACCAGGGGCTCAACTCCCATATTCCATCTCCTCCTTCTCACCCCTCCCCCATACTCCAAGTCCAGCTTCAGCACCCTGGGTCATAGATCCTATTGCAGGGCACCTTCCTTTTCCTGTTCACTGATCATCACCAGAGAACACGTTTCATTGGGGCTGCCTCATTGCATGGGGTCTTCTGCATTTGTACTTTCATGTCAACCCTTTTCTCAGTGAAGGGAGCCCCCATCCACTGTGTGCTAGGTCTTCCTTCTGCTCCTCCAGGGAACATCTGGTCTTACAGTGTTAAGGAACCCTGGTTTTTTAAGTCATCTTAGAAGTTACTTCCTCAGCTCCCACATCTTCTTTCTCATCCTATGTTGTTCTTCCCAGAACCATGAGGTGTCTGCAGATATTTCACTGGGTTTGGGGTCTGAATGGCTTGGTGGTTTCGATTCTTGTCAGACAATTCTTCACACAGCCACATTCCAGAGCTAGTTGAGCAGCCACCTCCTTCTTGCATTTTGTGCACTTA